CTTCCTTGACTTTCTATCAGCAGTCTTACTTCCTTAACTTCCTATCAGCAGTCTTACTTCCTTAACTTCCTATTAGCAGCCTTACTTCCTTAACTTTCTATCAGCAGTCTTACTTCCTTAACTTCCTATTAGCAGCTTTACTTCCTTAACTTCCTATTAACAGCCTTACTTCCTTAACTTCCTATTAGCAGCCTTACTTCCTTAACTTCCTATTAGCAGCCTTACTTCCTTAACAGAAGGTAGAAGTTCCAAATAAAAGAAAACCAAAATTCTTATTCATGTTAAAAATTCTTGTTTCTCGCGCTTTTGAAACAGGGACAACAGTTCTTAATGTTGTTAACAATGTTTGATTCGCACACATTAGGTAAACTAATAACGACTAGCGTGTTCTTGCTGAGCTGGTAAAGGCTGTGTTACAATGGTGTCTAAAACATATTTAACTTTATACGTTAAGTAACATTTGTGACGGAGGGAGCAAACTTGGATTGAATGAACATAATTTATGTGAATGTGATACTTTTAGATTATAACCTATACCTTCCTATCTAAGACTTAGGTTAAATGTCTTCTATCTTTTACAACTTTACTTATAATTCTGGTTTGAATCGTCAAGATATTTTACCCTCTGGCCACCTATGTACTTGTTTCTCTTAGTCTAGATTACCTCTTTCATCTAATTGGTTTGTTTAGCCATGATAACCAGCAAAATGAAACTTGTGATTGACCGACCCGACAGTCACAGGTTGTCACAAACTAAGCTTCTCTGCTGTGATTGGCCGAACCGAGAGTCACAGGCTTTCGCAAAATAAGCTTCCTTGGTGTGATTGGCCGACTCGAAAGTGACAGGTTGTTGTAAACTGCGCTTCTCTGTTGTGATTGATTGGCGCATCTATCAGTTGAGGATTTGAAAACAATCTTCGTTGGTAAATCAACGAATAAACATGAGTTGGGGGTAATTTCATTTCATTAACTGAGTGCTATTATTTTTATTATTTTTTCACTTTCCGTCATCTCTTCTTTAGACCTATCAAGGTCTCTCATAATCTTACCCGTATCATATCCTTCCCATTCCTTCAGTTAGAAGAGTCAGACCAACTCCGTCTACCTGAGGTTGTGGATTTACTTACCTCTTGAGTCAGAAACACTAAGGTTATCTACATGTTACAAAAACGATGTTCCAGGCTCTGCTTTCTCCGTCTTCGATCGCTCTCAGTTTGATGGTCATAATTACGTATAATTGCTAGCCACAACAGTTCCCATATAATATGCATTTATGAAGGACTGAGAACTCAGCCTTACTACATATCTACTCAAACTTGCCATAGGCCCTAGATTGTACTTGACTTACAAGATCATCTTTAAGCAGGAAAAAAAAAAAAGATTATGCCGCATCTGTTAACTTTATATTTGGCTTTTTATGAACATTTGCTAAAAGAAACGAAAAATGACGCTACAATTTGAATGGTTGTATGCTACAATTTTAAGATTAAATCAACCATTTTGTTTTCAATTCGTCTAGCCTCATGTATAAATAATTCATATAATTTCTATATTTTTTACACTTCACAACATGTTTAATAAACAACGAAAAATATAAGTTAAAAATTTGTATGAGTATATATGACATCTTCAAAGTGAGTGTTTTGGAAGTAAATACTTGATGTTGTAAAAATCTTAAATATCGTTTCTTTTTTGTTATCTGCTAGTTCTCTAGTTTTTACCGAAACAAATACGTACTCAGCCGTATTTTGTTACTGCTGTGCTATTTAAGGAAACATTGTTGCTAACTAATAATTACCTCCCTACAACGCTAGAATCCGGGTTTCGATACTCGTGGTGGGAAGAGCACAGATAGCCCATTTTGTAGCTTTGTGTTCAATTACAAACAAATTTAAACCTCTTAATATAAAGTAACTTATGTACTTAAAAAGAAATACTCGTAATTCAACAAATTAATTTCATAAAAAAATATAAAAAAACTAACTTTTCGCTGTTCATAGACACAATTGGGGTTTTCAAATTTAACATAACAACTCATGTTATATTTAATGGGTTTTCCGTAGCCCATTTTTAGTCAGTTTTTTGTCTGTCCAAACAAACATTTAATACGTTTAATCCCTGCTCTGCTCCATTTTCTGCTTTTCTTTATACGTTTCAGCCATCATATTTACTCTTAGATGTTTCATTCCCCGAAGTAAGCCCGTCAGAATATCTTTTTCTCTCCCCTTTAACAGACAAAATCTTTCTAAAACTGAATTTATATAATAAATTTTACAAAACTACATAATAACGATAATGGTCGATGGACATTTACAAATATTATTTTATGTATATCCTCCGGTAAAGTCATCATTAAAAAAAACGCATTTACCACTGATTGTTTGTTTGTTTTTTGAATTACGAGCAAAGCTACACGAGGGCTATCTGCGCTAGCCGTCCCTAATTTAGCAGTGTGAGAC